TCGAAGTCGAGTACTTTTTTGAAGTTATCCGCTGACAAATTAATAGTTTCAAATGATCGCAGGCTCAAGTCTATTTTTTCCAATGATTCATATGAAATGTGCTGTGTTTTTGTCACTGTGCCCTGCACTGTTAAGATTTTGATATCAAACTCAACTCGGACGCGAAAATTCAGCCAGCTTTTTAACAATACAGGCGGGAAGACCTTTTCTTACCATGGTCACGCGTTGGTCACGCTCTACGTCCAATTTTTGTACTCTGATTGGTCAAAATTTGACAGGTGAGTTCATGCGGAAAATTCATACAGCATCTTGAAAGTTGTTTACTTTGACAGCTGAAGCTGACAGAGTTTTGTGTCAACTTGTGATGTTTTTAACTGTCTTTTTCCACTGGATGTACAAAATGAAATACAGCTACTAACAAGAGTCTGTTACCCATGGCTGGTTTGCTTATTGGGTTTTTGTTGAGAAATGCGTCGCTTGTCAAATTTGGGTAATCCGATTTCGGATGGCATCGTTTTTGTTTTTCACCTTGCTTGATGCGTAAGAGGGTTTAAAAGTCTCAAGCAACTGTGGCCTTCCTTTATGGTGATGTTTGCTATATTTTGGGTGTACATATTTAGGCTATCAACTCGATGTAAGATGTTTCACTCTAAAATAACTTATCCTTTCCCTCAAAAGTCACATGAATCAATGTGCCCTTAAGTTAACTGATTTGTGGATTACAAGTTTATTGTTTAATTTAAAATATAAATTTATTGATGGGAGCTTCGCTTTTAGCCCTGGCTAAATCTATATATTATATGTATACGATGGGGCTTATAACAAAGGGACTTTAAAAGTGATAATTAACATGTGAAAAGAAAATTTAATGAATTTTGGTTGTCACGTCATAATTTCTTACTTCTCTTTTGTTTTCTATATGGAATCTTGCCGACACATCAGCTAGTAAGTATCATTTCATTTTTTTGTATCTATTTCAGGCGCACCTGCACTTATTTTATAAGTATGCCCCATTCCTGCCTGTTGGCCATGACATATGCAAGAATTGTTTTTCAGTGATATGTATAATAATCTACATTTTCACCAAATACTACGACATACTAAACCTGTGGTACCAAAATTTAAAATTCGACAAAACTTACTGACCAAAAGGAAGCTAAAGGATATTTAACCTTAATAATCCCTGGAATAGTAAGCATAGATCACGTACATTTTCAGTCAAAATCCACAACTATGTATCAGGGGGCTTATGCTGTGAATACTTTGAAAGTGGAAATTGAGACGGTTAAAAAAGGTAGAAAAATGAGTTTTAGTCATTCATATCATAATCCCCATCGTTTTTTGGTACGATGGCTGTCACCACAATACTGAACGTTGAGCCTGGTAGGGTAGAAAATATGTTTTACTTGTAGCTTGCTTTGCCACTTTCAATTTCTGGTCAGTTTCAAATGGTTTGTGAGATTTCCTACTGTACCAATAGACCCCCACTACTTTTCAAGTCTTGGCACCTGACTTACAAGACATTTAGCTTTTATTGCATTTCTGACCCTACCTATCCAAACAAATGTTTTGTTACGCAGTTTAAACTTTTTTGAAATCAATAATTTCATGGAGGGTCTTTTCTTTATAATCAATTAAATTATAGATAGTACCCGATTACTGCATACGATGTTATAACTCATATTTGCATACGATGGGTCTTAAAATAAAGGTACTTTGTAAGTGATCATTAACCTGTGAAAAGAAAATGTAATGAATTTTTATTGTCACGTCATAATTTCTTACTTCTTTTTTTGTTTTCTATATGGACTCTTGCCAACACATCAGCTTGTAAGTATCATTTGATTTTCTATCTATTTCGGGCGCACTTGTACTTATTTTATAAGTCTGTCCCATTCCCGCCTACTGGCCATGACATGTGCAAGATTTGATTATCAGTGATATGTATCATAATTTACATTTTCACCACATACTACGACATACTAAACCTGTGGTACTAAAATTTAAAATTCGACAAAACTTACTTACGAAAAGGAAGCGAAAGGATATTTAACCTTAATAATCCCTGGAATAGTAAGCATAGATCACGTACATTTTCGGTCAAAATCCACAACTATGTATCAGGGGGCTTATGCTGCGAATACTTTGAAAGTGGAAATTGAGACGGTCAAAGGTAGAAAAATGAGTTTTAGTCATTCATATCATAATCCCCATCGTTTTTTGGTACGATGGCTGTCACCACAATACTGAACGTTGAGCCTGGTAGGGTAGAAAAGATGTTTTACTTGTAGCTTGCTTTGCCACTTTCAATTTCTCGTCAGTTTCAAATGGTTTGTGAGATTTCCTACTGTACCAATAGACCCCCACTACTTTTCAAGTCTTGGCACCTGACTTACAAGACATTTAGCTTTTATTGCATTTCTGACCCTACCTATCCAAACAAATGTTTTGTTACGCAGTTTAAACTTTTTTGAAATCAATAATTTCATGGAGGGTCTTTTCTTTATAATCAATTAAATTATAGATAGTACCCGACTACTGCATACGATGTTATAACTCATATTTGCATACAATGGGTCTTAAAATAAAGGTACTTTGTAAGTGATCATTAACCTGTGAAAAGAAAATGTAATGAATTTTTATTGTCACGTCATAATTTCTTACTTCTTTTTTTGTTTTCTATATGGACTCTTGCCAACACATCAGCTTGTAAGTATCATTTGATTTTCTATCTATTTCGGGCGCACTTGTACTTATTTTATAAGTCTGTCCCATTCCCGCCTACTGGCCATGACATGTGCAAGATTTGATTATCAGTGATATGTATCATAATTTACATTTTCACCACATACTACGACATACTAAACCTGTGGTACTAAAATTTAAAATTCGACAAAACTTACTTACGAAAAGGAAGCGAAAGGATATTTAACCTTAATAATCCCTGGAATAGTAAGCATAGATCACGTACATTTTCGGTCAAAATCCACAACTATGTATCAGGGGGCTTATGCTGCGAATACTTTGAAAGTGGAAATTGAGACGGTCAAAGGTAGAAAAATGAGTTTTAGTTATTCATATCATAATCCCCATCGTTTTTTGGTACGATGGCTGTCACCACAATACTGAACGTTGAGCCTGGTAGGGTAGAAAATATGTTTACTTGTAGCTTGCTTTGCCACTTTCAATTTCTGGTCAGTTTCAAATGGGTTTGTGAGATTTCCCATTGTACCAATAGACCCCCACTACTTTTCAAGTCTTGGCACCTGACTTACAAGACATTTAGCTTTATTGCATTTCTGACCCTACCTATCCAAACAAATGTTTTGTTACGCAGTTTAAACTTTTTTGAAATCAATAATTTCATGGAGGGTCTTTTCTTTATAATTAATTGAATTATATATAGTACCCGACTACTGCATACGATGTTATAACACGTATTTGCATAGGATGGGTCTTATAATAAAAGGACTTTAAAAGTAATAATTGACCTGTCATTTAAAAATAAAATAATGAATTTTGGTCGTACACGTCATAATTTCATTTTTTTTTGTTGTTTTCTACATGGACTCTTGCCGATACATGAGATCGTAATTAGGTATCATTTGATTTCCAGTGACGGTTAATAAGTCACTGCATAGAAATGCGTAATAACTTTGTTCCGATTCCTTCAAACACAACACTTTTGTATGGACTAGATTTTCTCTCTTACTTCTCTTTTCTTTTCTATGTGGACACGTGCCGATACATCAGGGAGTAAGTATCATTTGATTTTCAGTGAGCGTTAATGAGTCAATGCATCGAAATGCATAGTATAACTGTGTTCCGATTGCTTGAAAAACAACACTTCTGATTAGACCAAATTTATTAAACATAACTTTTTAAGATATGTATAATAATTTACATTTTCACCAAATACTTCGTCATACTAAACGTGTGGTACCAAAATTTAAAATTAGACAAAACTTACTTACCTAAAGGAAGCTAAAGGATATTTAAGCTTAGTAATCCCTGGAATAGTAAGCATAGATCACGTACATTGTCAGTCAAAATCCATAACTATATATCAGGAGGCTTATGCTGTGGGTACTTTGAAAGTGGAAATTGAGGCGGTTAAAAGTAGAAAAATGAATTTTAGTCATTCACATCATAATCTCCTTCGGTTTTTGGTGAGATGGCTGTCACCACAATACTGATCGTCGAACCGAATAGGATCAGAAAAGATGTTTTAGTTGTAGCTTGCTTGGCCATTTTCATTTTCTCGGTTGTTTCATATGGTTTGTGAGATTTTCGTATTGTACCAATAGACCCGTCATTATTAAGTCTTGGCACCCGACTTTGAACGCATTTAGCTTCACTACATTTCGGACCGTACCTGTCCAAAGTAGTATAGGACTTGAAGCTGTAGGGCCAGTCTCATTTTTCTGGATTTATCCTTGGGATTTTGCTGATGTCAGCTTTTTTTTGTGACCTTGACCTTGACTTACATAGGGCTATAGGGCCACTTCCATATTCTGGAATTACTATATGGTTTTTTGGATTTGACCTTGACTATGGGATCACGTGACCTTGACTATAGGATTCCTGGAAAATGACCCCCGCCTTTTTTCCTGGAATTTAGATTGGACCGTGGATCACATGACCTTAACCTTGGAAGTGGTGATGAGTAATGAATTAAATATCTAGCTGGATCAATAACTTATATTTTATGAAATTTGGTGAGATTCACTTTAAGTGTCTCATCTGGTGGAAATTCTTTGTTACAAATTTTACATGGCAATCTGTCCTTTTAAATATCTGGTGATTTGGTGATAAGAATGAAGCAGAAGCCATTTTTGTGTACATATTTGTCATTTTCAATTGTAACTCTGATACTTTGTAATTGTTTGTTGGACTCTTGAATTCCAAGCAAAATCCTTTCCATAATTTGTTGTAATTTAGGATCACGATGTCAGGCTGACTTTTCATATATCCTTTTTCCAAGATTGTATTCGTTTACCTGGTGTATCCTGGTTTTCACCAAGCCCGGCCACAATGATGGCATCTGGATAAAATCTCCTCATGTATTGAACTACTTTGCAGTGAAGATCAGTCTCATTTTCTATTTTAAACATGTTTTTATTAGGATTGTCAAACAGTTTGAACTGACCATATTTTCTTTTTGAAGGCAGTACTTGGGAATGTTTGAATATTGTTGCTATTTCCAGTTTCGAAGACAAGATGAGAGAATGAAAACTATATTCACTTATGAAAGTATGCCGGCGGACCTGACCCGTCTTGTAGACGGGATAGCTTTTTCTATCCTCAGGATCAATATTTTTTCTTAAAGCTTGATCCGTATCACTGTATCCAAGGATTTGAGCAATATCTTTTCCCTTGAACCAGATATTTTGCTTGTCATCAATATATGAAGTCAACTCAATTTCCAACTCATTATTCGTGAATTTTTTTCTATCATTGTCATTATTATATTGCATGTAATATTTCTTTAAATAGTTTTGGTTTCAACAACCAGAACCATAAAATGTTTTTGGCCATTATAGCAAAAGGCAGATATTAATCTGAATACTCTTACTATATGTTAGATAAAAAGTACTCTTTTTAGTTGTCATTCGTAGTATCAGCACAAATTACCTGAAGAAGATCATCCAGAGTTATGTATTCATCCATTTCTTTCACCTTTTTCAAATATATTTTCATCAGAGATTGTTTATGCCTCATTGCAGAAAGATCTTCCTCCGCTTTATTGATTTTATCATACAGCTTATCAAGTTCATCTTCTTTGCTGTGAATATTTGAATGCAGCTTTTCAATATATTTTGGTATTTTATCAGTCATTTATATATATGTTAGATAAATCTTTTAAACTACTCAGTGGAATCCAAGAATTAAAGTCGTTGTTATATCCCAGCCACTTCACAGGAGCTTGTTTCTTTTTTTAATCCCTCCGAATGACTTTATCAATACGGAATATATCTTGTTTTGCCGGCAGTAATTCAGGTTCGTAAAAGCTCCCTTGTATCTCCTCGTTGTTGAGATCCTTTAAGCTGTAGGTAATTGGATTTGTGGATTGAATTTTATCGACCAGGAATATTTCTTCAGTCCAATTAGGTGTGTATCCTTATCAAATAGCTTTCTTTTGTATTTACCTATCCTAACTTTATCACCAATCTTGAACCTAGGTTTAGACGACAATTGCTCCATATCACCATATAGATTAAAATACACGGTACTTTCATTCTTCTTTTTACTGGCTTCTACAGTTGTCATTTTAATGGAACTATGTTTAGCGTTATTACACTGCTTGAGTATTTTTTGCAGCGTATCAAGATATACTGTATTACCCTGGACAGTAAATTGCTTCCACATCTTGGTTTTGATTTTACGGTTCCATCTTTCACAAACAATACTTTTTTCTTCATTCTCGGTTGAGTACAGTGTTATATTATGCTTTTGCAATAGGTCTTTCATGTTTTTTGTTATAATATTCTTTCCCATTATCAGTCCATAGATATTGTGGTTTACGGCCCTCTTCAAAGATGGTTTTGAATGCTTCTGTGACAGTTTCTCCTTTTTTTATCTTTCAACGGAACAATCCAACCATATTTGGAGAATAGATCTAATACCATGAGAAGATATCTATAACCCTTATTCCATTTGCTGAATTGTTGCATTTCAATTAGATCCGAGCACCAAATTTTGTCGATGCCGTTTACAATAACGCTCTGCCGAGTAAAGTTACGCTTTATAGGTTTATGTAATTCATCTTCTAATTGCTGTTGCCAGTTTTCTTCACTCGACGGCTTTTTCAGTTTTTTGAAACACCAAGTCCGAGTTTCTGTTTTTTTTTATCAATCAAAAATCTAGCTGTTTTGCCCCATTTAGGCATTTCTCCATAAGGAATCATATCCAGTTATTTTACCATGGCTCTGTCACAGTCACCTTTGTTTTTGCCCATATCATAACAAATATCATGGCGAGCGGCTATTTCATCCACTTTATTGTACGGCTGAACACACCATTCTAGTACCTCACCAGTGTTGGGATCATATTTCAACTGCTTATCAAGGGGGGTTGTACGGCCCCATATATTTGTATTTGCCTGGAGTGAAACCAGCTTTGGGGTGAGGAAGTTTACCAATTGCTTTATGAATATCTATTCAATTCCGCCCACATCCAGATGCTTTCTATTAGTTTTATATTTAAGTTTTGGCCTAATTTTTGTTGACAATTGATCAAGAGCTTGGTGTCCAACATTTTCTATCATTGGAGTGAGCGTTTTCAATTCATAATTTATGGCGCTCTTTTGTAGATTTTTATTTCTCAAAGCTTCAGAACCATAATATCTTGCCATTTCTACACTCTTTTTTGCCATAAATGGAATAGCATGGTGAACGAATGTACCCATACCCTGTTCCGCTATAGTACCTAATATGCCCGCCCCTTCAGACGGGCCAATTAGTCTCCTTTCACGAATTTGGTTTTTAGTGATTCCACATTCAGCACGGGTACATTTCATCATTAATCGGCCATTTTTAGCTTTAACAATTGTTTCACTACCTGGTACACATTCTGGCTGTTTTTTTCTGTTTAACACAATAAGATTTCACCACTTCTATATACAATATGTCACTTAAAAATTACGGGTAAAAATTAATCACTGTCTGGAAGATAAGTTGGATCATCTTGAGAGCTATCAGATTCACTCTCATAATCACTCTCACTCAAAGGTTCACAATTGCAGCACTCTAAAGCACCATACTCATTCACATAAAGTGTAGTAACTTCTTGGCAATATACACAGAATTTATCAGTCATTATATATATAATGTTAATTGGTTTTGTTTTTTTGGGAAACGCGCAGGTTATACATCTAAATTGAAAATGCTTGTTCAAATAGTGGAATGTAATCTTTACACAATACATACATAGTCTATTTGACTCCATACTATTAGATTATATATTTTTAAAATACTTTTCTATAAACTGCTCATTCTTCATTGTGTCATGAATGTTAAATACATCCAGCAGATCATAATATGTTGTACCCTTGCTCATTTTATTCAAAAAGTAAAAACAGAAGTAACCGCATGTTGTTGTGTTAATATTTTGTATCGGTTGTTTTGATGCAGCAGCGTCAGATTCTTGCTTCTGGCATGATTAACAATTTCTTGAAACTGAGGCATCCCAAAACTGTCAAAATAATTGATAACACCATCTTTCACGTATGTTGAGACCGAATGAGACCCACTCATATAAGATGGCTCAAGATTATAAATACGTAATGTTTGCCCACGGTTGTGAGGAACTGTCTGATCTCTCGACAGCACATCTTTTATAGGTATATTCAAATATTTACACCATTTTGTTAGATCATGATTACTCGTTGGGATATTTTTGTGGAATTTGGGTTTTGCAGTATGAGGTTTAACAGAGGTATGTTTTTGAATGGTGAATTTTTGCCTGATAGCAGACCGTGTCCCGTTCGAGTTCTTTTTTTTTACCACCACCATGCAATACATACCCAATCGAGGGGCTCCATGGCCATCTTGTTTTCCTTGCAGAGGACTTCTTCCAAATCTTGGTGCACTTCCGCCGTCATTTTTTTAATCAGGTCAACAGCTAATGGAATACCAATGGATGCAAGAATAGTTCCAATGCCGCTACCCATCTGTGCTTGAGTTAGTTTATATGAAAATCTGAACCTGTTTTGATAGCGCTGAGAAGATCCCGCTTTTGTTTTGTGGATAGAAGGTCTTCATATGGCATCAACTGGCCGATTGCATTCAGTGTGATCAAAAAGCCCCTCCTTTGCCCCCATATGCTGATGCAAGAATTCTGTCAGCCAGCTGGTTACTTTTTGGCCGCCGTCTATTATCAACCCTTTTGTTTAATTCTGATGCAAAATCCATCAGTACGTTACCTCCAGATATCTTTTTTACCAATTGACTGGCGCCTTCACTAGCAAGACCTGCTAATGCTGACAAACCAAGTGTTTTACCAATTGTTGGTGCCAAGGCTCTGCCCATTGATAAAATACTGGTTAATAGGTTACCTCCCTTTTGCTTTCGTATATTAGTCTTGGCTAATTTGATATCCATGCCTTTGTCTAAGCGACGGCTCTTATTTAATCTCTTTACAATGTTTGATGGAACATGTAGTGTATCACTTCCGGAAAGTGCGTTGCTTGCTAATCTAAGAAAAAATTGTCTCTCTCTGATGGAAAGCCCGAGAAAGATTCTTTTTTTGGTTTTCTGATAGTTTTACATTTATCTCATAAAGCATTGTCATATCTTCTATGTATTATAAATTATGTTAGATAATATTCACTTAAAAAACATATTTAAATTACACAATAACCAACTCATTACCAATCTTATCAATCTTAAAGATCTCTTCATAAAGAACAACTGAAAATCAGCTGTTTGGGACCTCTTGTTACCTTTTCTGTCTGATATTTCAGATCAAAATAAATCAATGGTAACAGACGGTTGTAATTAGCAAGATTCAATTGTGTACAAGTCTTGTAATCATTCTTTCTCATAGCATACGCCATAAGGTCATTGAAAATCCTCCCTTTACTATCACTATCATACTCAGTTCCTGGGTAAAAGACGCCATTACCATATTCTAACTGGCAGTTGCTCAGAGATGCCCCTTCTGGTAGTGAAAGAGTATTCATTAGATATGGACTATTTTCAGCATGCCTATCTCCATTGTTATCTCTGTAAGAATTTTTGGATCTTGTTTACTGTAGGTAGTGTCGACCGATCTATCGGTCGATATAGCGGTCGATATAGCGGTCGATAGTCGGTCGACACTCGGTCGATCTAGCGGTCGATAGTCGGTCGATAGTTGGTCGATAGTCAGTCGGCAGTCGGTCGATAGTAAGTCGATCGTGAGATAGACTATCGGCCGAGTATCGGTCGATATTTCGACGACGCAACACGACCGGCTATCGGTCATATGTCGGTGATATATCGGTCAACTGTCGGTGGTATATCGGTCAACTGTCGGTCGAATATCAGTCGTGTGTTAATTTAGCAGGTTAGTCCAATGGCTTTCTTTTTGAGCAATGACGTCATTAATTACTGTTATTATTCATTCAAAATATTTCCCCAATTCTGATTGGCTAAAAGCACACGCATAATTCACCATAACCAGTTACTGATGACCAAATTTGGAAGAAGTTTGTGTTTAACGAGGAAATGACGTCAAAATGCAGCCTTTCTACAGGTTAATGCACTGTTAACCGAGAAGACGTCTCCACATGAATTCTGTAAGGTATTCTTGCTACCTTCTGACTATCGACCAAGTGTTGACCGACCATCGACCAAGTGTTGCATGACCAATTACTGACCGATACATTGGTGAAGTATCGACGAACCATCGGCGAAGTGTCGGGGAAGTGTCGGTGAACGAAAAGCTATATCGGCCGAGACACACCTCGACTATCGACCGTGTCTCGATCGAGTGTCGTCCGACTATCGTCTGACTATCGACCGCTATATTGACCGAGTCTCGACCGACTATCAACCGACTATCGACCGACTATAGACCGACTATCGACCGAGTGTCGACCGAGTGTCGACCGACTATCGACCGCTATATCGACCGATAGATCGGTCGACACTACCTACAGTAAACATGATCCGAATTTTTTAGGTAAAAGAGAATAAGTTTGACATTATCGATACTAGCAGATATTTGGAAAAAAAACAATTGCTTTAGTTGGTGCTGAAACTTCGTACAATTCCGTCATGTATGTCCATTGTGTTTGTTATAGAAATGAGCTGACGAATTTATCATACATGCTGTCTTTTGGAGTTAATTTTGGAATCCATAGAAGAAACCTATGAGCAACAATACCGCCATTATTAGCAACGTGGGCTTTATGTATCAATTCATCATCATTATTTAGTGCTATGTTAAATTGGAGCTGCATAGGAACTAGCATTTTGTCTTCAAGCTCTTAAAAAAACGAGTATCTGTTTAGTGGAATTATTACATTGCCATCTTTTGCTCCTCCGCCACCGTTATTATTATTTGCTTGGGTGAGCAATCGACGTGCTTCAAATCGCGTATTTGTGTTTGCTGTGGTATTATCAGTATCTAAATACCATAGACTGTTTTTTGCAACTGATCTGCTGTAATCATCAGAATACTCCAATAGATTCTTTGTAAATGTGACATTATGAAGGTTGTCTGTATCATATACAATTTTGCCTGCTGATTTTATCATTAGATGCTTCATAAGGCTGTGAGCACCATTAATTACTGTTATTCTATCAGCCGCTTCATATCTCGCTCCTTCGGGAAGTTTTTGAAGCTGGAACAGGACCTCAAAATAGGCATTATACCAATCACAAAATGAACTCCTGTCATTTATTGTGAATTTATAATCATTCTTTATTTGGTGTTGGTTGTTTCCAGGTGATCTGATGACATCATCTAGCTGATATCTCACCAGTTCATTTCCTTGCAAATAATCACTTGGTCTAAAAGCCGTTGATATTATTAGGTTACACTATTTTTCCTCCCCTCCTTTTTATTCCTGTTCCAGATATCAAACGTTTTATTGCCATGTCTGTTGATTCCTCTTGTTTGACTGGAATATTTTGGTCTTATTGATGGAGTTTTGGTTTTAGAGAATTGACTTGCCAGCTTTTTCATAATAAAATCCCCACTTTTTTTCAGCAGCTTTTTCACCTAATTTATCACCAGCATGTGAAATACCGGATTGCAGTGCTTTTTTAGCAAATGGTTTGACAACTGTTTTGGTTAATGAAGATGCACCTCTTCTCATTGGTTTGAGAATATTATTGACAATTATACCACTTCCTTTGTGCTTATATACAAATCTACCCAGCTTTGGGTCAAAATTTCTCATGAATTCATATGGTTTCATCTATAATTTATTATTATAATGTTATATAAATTAAGCTATTGGTTCCAATCATCTCAAAATCAAACTGAATGAAGTATCAGCTCCGTTTAAATCCACAACACGTCTTTTACCATCTGTGATTTACATTCTAACAGAGCTGATATTTTGTTTATTAATTGGATTATATGTGATGCTTCTTGGTTGAAGAATAAAACTATATGAAGGTCTTAGGACGCTTGTACTAAAGCTGTAAACGATGTCATTTTCTTCTCCATCAACAAGACTATCATTGACTAAATCACAATGAATGTTGAGAATATCGATGTCTTGAGACAGATTTGGTACTTTTAAGCCTACATTGCTTGAAGCTGTGAGAACTTTTTTATCAAACCCAATCAACTCATAAAAATTGGATTTGGTGAGATCAAGTTGATATTGGTCTTCAATGATATTGTTACTTTGAATATCGTCTCATCAAATGCAAGAGTGATGGGGTACTCATCGTCTTTAAGAGATGATTTTATAACCGTCTTTTGTTTGATGTATGAATCAAAATCACTATAATTCCATACACCTGGCGGAAATGATATATTTGTAAAATAAGTTCCTGAATCACTGCGAATCGGATAAGCTGATTATCGTACCCAACATTTACATTGAACCAGGTAAAGCGCATGTTGATTATTCTGTTTAAACCAATAGCATACTCATGATTATTGTCTAAGACTATTGGTCTTGTGAATTTGGTAATAAAGTTTCCAGGTATATTATTTCCTTTGTTTTCAACCGAATAGGAGGATAAAACTATTTCTCGTTCCATATGTTATATAATTACCTTATTTTAAAATATTGCTCGTAAAATTTTGCATGTTGAGCTTTATTAATTGCTAAGGTTCTAAATAATGTGCCCAGTATTGGAACTCCCATGTTACGCATGTCAATTGATGTATTACCAGCCATTATTTCACTGATAATTAATTCTAACTTTTTTAGCACAGTTTTAGGGTTATTAAAAAACATCACATTACCACTTCTTTTTCTGATTCCTGAACCTTTCATTTCCTCTTTTTAGTCCCATAATATTTGATATATGCTGCTAAAAACATCCCTTGCATTACTTACTCTTTTTAATTCCTGGGTCTTTTCTGCTTCTCCTTTATCACCCCTTTTTATATGCTAGTTTAAGTTGGGTTTTATAACCGGGTAGTTGGCTTCTCCGGTGCCTTATGCGTTATGCAGTACCTAATTAAGGTATTTTCTTGTATTTTGGGGTGTTATTTAAGGCTGACTTATAATTTTATCAACATTGTCATAACTGGTGATGTCCAGATCTTTCAAACCTAATTAGTTCTGTCTTCCTCGTCCAAATCATAGACAGGAACTTCATGCTCATCATATTCTGGAGGCAAATCTTGCGGCTCTGGTGGTAAATATTGAGGATCAACATACATTTGTTTCTTACCCTCTAAAACATCCGCTAATGATTCTTAATAGGTAGGTGGTTTTGGCACTAAATGTTTGTTTTGTTCTGGTCGTATTTCTTCCTCATCAAATAGATCGTCTAGTGCATAATCAGGAATATCTTCATCATATGTTGGAATACCATAATCAGGGACTGCCACTTTCTTACCACGTTTTCTTTGCAATGCTGGTAGTTTCAGATTACCCAACGCAACATCATCTAATTTAGTTGTTTTTGGTTTGAACGCCTTTTGAAAAGATTCCTGGCTTGTTTTTTCTCCCAACTGATTTTTCACCCAGTTCTGTTTTTCTCTTCGCAAGTTCCTTCCACTTAAGTAAACTCATTTTTATTATACTATTAGGTTACATAAATTCACAAATACTGTATAAAAACAGCAGCTTAGCTGACAGTTAAGCTTGCAGGTAAGCAAGTGTAAGATATATGTATAGAATGAAAATACTCAATTATGATGTTGAAGATAAATAATCTGACTATAAACGGAAAGTCCCATTTATGCCTGATAGATGTTTTACGATGCTTGTATGCAGTCCTTCAGGCTCGGGCGAAACTAACCTTCTGGATATGATCTATAGGTTGCTGTATTTTGACAAGATATATCTGTATGCTAAAAATCTGCAACAAAGCAAGTATGAGCATTTACTAGACTTATTCGAACCTATTAGTGAAGAAGCTGGTTATCCCATTATTGAAGCAAGCAATGATAAAATAATTCATAACTGGATGCCATGTGATAATCAAAAGCTAGTCATTTTCGATGATTATCTCAATACAGGAACAAAGAATGATGTTGAAATCAGGAATTATTATACCAATTCCAGAAATAAAAACTGCAGCTGTATCTATTTATCTCAAAGCTATTATGGCACTGATAAAATAATCCGATTAAATTGCACACATCATTGTATCTTTGAATTTCCTTCCAGCAATGAGCAAAATATGATATGCAGAGAGCATGGGATCAGCAAATCTCACTAACAGAGAGCCACATAAGAACCATATGATTTTATTTATGTTGACAAGCCCAAAAAACGTGTTGCTAAGAATTTTAATGAAATGATATAATCTAATATACATAGATATGAGTTATTCAAATGGATTGTTAAAACTTTAAAAGTCAAACTTTTGGCCAAGGTGAACGATGTAGGGCTGGGGTAGGTTTTAATCTCACATCCGATGGGAATTATGATATGGTAAATAAAAAACTGAAAAATGTTGGTGAAGGAACTGCTTCCAGCGAGGTAATAACAAAACATCAAATTGCTACAGCAATGATTGATAAACATAATAATAACCAGAATATTGATTTTAAGAATACTTACAATGTCATCAACAGCAAACAGCAAACATTCAATGAAATGAATGCAATTAGAAATACCCTTGTGTGTTACGAAGATGTTCGTGACGTGTTCGTAAGTCGTAAGGAATCTGTTTTTCCAATGCAAACTCATTTAGATATGGGAAACAATTATATCTATAACGTCCAGACACCCATCAATAACGATCAAGGAGCAAATAAATCTTATGTTGATCAACATGTAGCCAAATTGCTGGTATCTAAATATGGGTGATAATAAGATAAAAGGATTACCAACAACAAGTCAGGCTGGTGATGAAGCTACCTCAAAAGCTTATGTTGAGGATAATTTTTTTAAACTGTCTGGTGCTTCTTTAACAGGTAATTTAAATGTTCCTAGTCCGGCTTTTTTGCCCAATGTAATTGTACTGAATTTTGTCAATTATATGCAATACTTTTTTGTTGAGAATAAGAACCCTTATGTAAATACCCGATTCAATATGGTCAGTCAAAAGATAATCAATCTTGGAGACCCAAGTGATAATAAAGATGCTGTTAACAAGCAATTTTTGAAACAAGAGGTCCAAAAATCTCATATAACACCAAATCATTACAACAATGAATTTAAATACTTGATGGCTAATAAATTAAAATGGACTGATCTTTTGGAAGATAGTTTTTCCATTTCTAAAATTGATAATTTATATCCTCATGAGGGTAACTACCATCAATATAATCATAACGTTCTATTCATAGCCATTAGAAAGAATAAAAAAGGTGGATACACATATGAAATAGAGACAAAATGTTGTCCAGTTGATAAAGATAAAGATTACACACTTTATATTGAAATCCTCAATACAGATTACCAATAATTATGGAATAAATCAGTTGCTACAACTGATAAAACTAAATCACAGGGGTTAACAATTGATGATGCTGCGGTACAAAAATTTTCTCATAGATATACAAATAATAGTGGGAGTGTTGAATACATGTATTATATCAAAATAATTGTAAATTTTAAAAAAACTGCACCGGATCCACTTAACAGCCTACATCTTTATGTTGATATTAAACAAAATGGTGGTGATCTTAATATGTATTCAGCAAATTGGACAAAAAACTGGATTATTGCTTATGGCGTTTTTGGGAAAACATCATCAATTGACCCCCAAAAACATACGATTATCATACAGCCTTTGATATCAAACCTACAAAAGTTTTTTATAATGTAGACCTTGATATGAACCAAAAGAAGTTAACCAATGTGTCACTAGATAAAAATGACAACAATAGTGCGGAACAGTGAGAATGGTAAAAAATCTGGAGATAAAAGTGTACCCCTATATTACCAATTATGCTTACAGAGAGATTTTTGAAGAATTTTATGATTTGATAGATAGAACACAATTTAATCTTATTGATGGCGCCTCAGGTATTGTTATAAATTTAAAAAAATCCAAATCTGTATCTTTATAATAATAAATATATATCCAGCTATGACAGGAGAAAAGGATTCATTTTATCATTAGGGACCTTAAGCATCGACAACGAAACGGACGACGGCGACGCTTCGCAGTTGAGGCAAACTGGGCCAAGGGTTTCGTTTTCGCCGGGGAAAACGAAGTTTAAGCAGTGCAGCTTCCCAGACAGACGAACGACTTTTTCTTTGCGAAGAAGTTTGTCTTGTTACAGTCTTGTTACGGGCATTCAAAGACCTCTGTAATTTACACCTGATAAGCTATGACGATGGTTTAATCGACAGTGGCAAATTTATTGGTCTTTACGACCTGTAATTCGATTGTGGAGGCTTCTCTTCGTCGCGCAGCTTTTGTTTTTGTTTTGAAGTTAAAAGTGAATACCGATCTCGAACCGCTCTTGACTTGCAGTTACTCTAAATTTCGGTTGCTGAAGGGAATTCAGTGCTGCTGCTATGTTCTCCCATATTTGCCCTCTCTCAAGGCTCCTCATAACCACGTACATTCTGTTCAGGAGTCCACTAGAAATAGTTGAAAACAACATGGGAAAATATTAAATTTTAGTACGAAAAAAATGAACATTTTTCCCATAGTACAACCTAAAATGCACAAGTAAACATAGACCGTCAAGAAACGAACAGCATCTAATCTCACGACTGCTTCGAAACATAGCGGAAGAAAGCTTACTTGTCTTTCCCGCCGGCTGTTCCCCCACCAATCAGGTTTTCAAACAAACCGAAGCTGAAAAATAAATTCAAGTTAGTTGGCGAAGAAATCGACAAAGTGCTTAACATTTGGATTCTGTTAATCCACAAAGAATATATTTCTACTTTTACTGAATGACAAGGTGGAAAAAGAGTGATTTACACGCAAAAAGTATACTTTTATACTTACGTTTTAGCGACAACGGCAGACCTCCCTGAGTTTCGTAGTCGACGAAGGCTGTACGACGTTTCGTCAAGAACAGAACAGCTCAGAGAGGCGGCTCGTTTGATAAAAATAATTTCATAAAGGAATTAAACGTTCTCGATGACACCACTGTGGATTTCAATCCTTTAGTGACAAAATCTGACAAACAATACTATAAAAAATTTACGTCATCTGAGTAAACTCACTTGCTTATAATATCATTCATAATAAACGTGTTTCCACCACTGGCTGTTATCATTAAGAGTCTTCTTTGATTTCGAAAGTGGGATAAATTTATATTTTATTCCTAAAATGTCCAATAGTTGCTTCAAAATGTATTTAATACTAACCATACGTTTCCGGTCACAGTCGACTTGAGATGACGCTTGGTCAATTAATGTAAATATTCTCAGGATTTTCTCCCTATCATTATAACTAATTTGTATCTTATTCTTTCGCGTGATATCATCGATGACGTTTAAAATGTGGTATTTCCGGAGATAAATTTTTTTCCGTATTCTATACATATTTTCATAAAAATCCACAAACTCATTTGTTGTTTTATAACCAAACATGGTGCCACAATTCGCACACACTATTTTAGAATTATTGATTATATTTGGAAGCTCACGACATTTTGTTTCTATGCTTTTCACCTGGTATAATATCTCATCACAAAATGGACATTGCACCTTGTTCTCTTCATTTAATAAACACATATGTATCTTCTCACAATCCATCTATATATATTACTATAGAAAATCTTTTTATATGTTTCAATGCCCATAAGCGTAACTAGTTATACCATCATTATGTATATATCGTTTGTCATCAAAGCATGATAAAGATATTTTGTTTAGCTTATAACTGCCAATTTAGTGGCACTCATGGTCACTTCCGATTATATTAGTATTATTTGTTGGGATAAGCTTTGCTACCTGTCCGATACTTATTCCATATTTCTCTTTTATCATTTTACAATATGGTGATAGCATATCTGGTGAAACTTTCATCTTTTCCGCAGCAACAGGATAGTCATTATGCAATTCATGCAATTCTCCTGGGTATTCAAGATCAACTTCAAATGTATATCTTTTGTCACCATCTGGATGAATATAATCTTCTTTCATCAATTTGTCTATCTGTTTTTCAGCCAACCATCTGAATCCACCTGTTGGAAGATATTGTGATATGGCCCAACCACACAAATCATTTGTATCTAAATACTTAATATGTTTTGATGGTTCGGTGCTATCATAACCACTCATATACTTATTATTTGCTTTTCCATGTCTCTGAGCAATATAAGAAATACCACCGCGCAGGCGTTTTTCAATGAATTGAAACATGTCCACATCAGTCATCAATTCAAGTTGTATATCAGTCATTTTCAACATAGCATCTCAACTCAGGCCGGGTGATGTGAAACAGCCAAAGTGACTCCACTTTTTAAAAAGGGCATTAAATCGGACCCTAACAACTACAGGCCAATATCTGTAATCCCTATAATTTCGAAAGTTTTTGAAAGAATTGTTTATAATCAACTTTTCCATTATCTAGATGATAATAAATTGCTACTAGGTTGCCAATCAGGGTTCCGTTCTCTACATAGTACGCTCACGGCTTTGCTTGAGGCAACAAATGCTTGGTCAGTAAACATCGACAATGGCCTTCTAAATGGCGTTGTCTTTATTGACCTTACTAAGGCATTCGACACCATTGATCATGAGATCATCTTGCGTAAGATGTCATACTTGGGTGTCGATCAGGCAGCTATAAAATGGTTCTCGTCGTACTTAAGTGGCCGAACCCAAAGATGTAATGTCAGTGGCAAACTATCATCTGCTCGTACCCTCAGTTGCGGCGTGCCGCAGGGTAGCATATTGGGTCCTTTGCTATTTTTAATTTACATTAATGATCTTCCCAACTCCCTGCGGGGCGCCGTACCAAGAATGTTTGCCGATGACACCAACCTTACGTTATCTGCTAAGACGTTAACAGAGCTTAAGCTAGCTCTAACCCCTGAATTAAATAACCTTAGCTGTTGGCTGAAAGCTAACAAGCTCAGTCTAAATGTTGCTAAAACAGAGCTAATGATTATTGGATCAAGACAAAGACTATCTGCCCAATGTGACGATGTAGAAATCAAAATTGATGACCAAATTATCAAGAGAGTCGATCATACCAAATCCTTGGGTCTTACCATAGATGCTCAACTCTCTTGGGGTAAACACGTTGAAGAGATTTGCAAGAAAGTCTCTTCAGCTATAGGCGCCCTAAAACGTGTGCGGCCCTTTATATCCAAAGAAACTGCAATTCAAATTTATAACGCTTTAATTATGCCTCATTTTGATTACTGCAGCCCCGTCTGGGACTGTTTGAGTGGTTACTTGAGTGATAAGCTCCAAAAATTACAGAATCGTGCAGCCAGAGTTATTACTAAATCACCCTTTGATGCGAGCTCAAACCACCTTCTCTCCACCCTCAGCTGGGAGAGGCTATCTCTTCGACGAAAGAAACAAAAAGCCTTAATGATGTATAAAACCATACATGACCTTGCTCCAAAATATCTACAAAGTCTTTTCTCTCAGCGTCACTCTGCTTACAACTTAAGAAACTCTGAGGGAAGGCTGACCCTGTCCAAACCAAACACCAATTATTTGAAACGAAGCTTCTCTTACAGCGGGGCCATGTTATGGAATAACTTGCCCAAAAACTTAAAAAACGCTGCATCCGTTGAGCATTTTAAGCGAAATATCAAGAAGGTAGCTGATATATCGGATTCCCACACGGCAATCATGTAAAGCAGTTGTAATTAGTTTTAGTTTTTAACTTAAGCTTAACTGATGATTTCCCGTGTTTAAATAAAGATTTACATACATACATACATAGTGCGCGGGATCCAATTTGTAATACTGCAAACATGTTTTTCTGAAATTCTCAAACACATCCGCAAGCAGCAATATGTCACTTTTCAGATACAAATCATGATACTCGCCCATATTCTTTAAGCCAAAAGTATTCCAAACTTTCTGTGCATGTTGGCTTTGCTCTTCAGATATTCCATCATCAGTCAACAAACTGTAAAAATCATTTTTGGATGGCAGTTTTTGTTCTTCAAACTTGTCAACACAGTCCATAAAATCATATGGATAAACACCTTTCTTTTTCATTAATTCAAACTTGTTATTTTTGAACTCCTGCTTAGAGTAATGAAATGCATCTTCAGGTAGATTAGCTGCAAGTTTTCCCAGACTACTGGCTATAAATTGGAAATTATCCATAAAAACAAGATGTTTTCATATCCAAAAACATTTATATTTTTAATACTTATATTGTTTTGGGCCTCAATCTTAGCATAATCTTTTACACTGACTGGAAACTCAACACGCTCGTAATTCAATGGATCAACCACTAATTCATCTGATCTTTTAATTCTTTTAGGGTGATTATCTTTTGGGTTAAGATAGCAGATGTTACACCATCTGAAACATTCATTGTCATTGTTAATGAGGTTGATCAAACCCTTATTATGATGTTGTAGCTCCGTAGGTAGTGGTATATATGAACTACCCATTGTAGGTCTATACATAACAATATTTATATAATGTTCAACAATACTGCCAATAGTCCAGCCAGATCCTTCAGATACCCAAATAGCAATTGTATTAAGTATTTGCTGCTGTGATATTTGTAGAGTTTCCATAAAATCTTTTGAATTAATCACAATCTGCGCCTTACTGTTAAACAATTTTGGTTTTGTAATTTCATATTCCCCATCTATTTTCGTTACAAATTTAACTACTAAAGTTTCAATAAATTTAAAACCTCTCGTATCTTCAAGTAAAGTTTTAAATAATCGACTGATTGCCTGTCTTTTATTTTGCAGTTGCACTTATGGATAAAAATTTTTCTTTAATGATAATACTAATAATAAAAGTCTTTATTCATAGTTGGGTAGTCACAACATACGCGTGGCTTTACATACATGACAATGCAATCTATTTAAGATCAAGTACAATTAAATAAAATTAAAAAAAGAGACCTATTAATAAAAGATCTCCTAAAGCGTTCTGTTTTAACAGTAAGTAAAATAAAATCATGTCCTCTGTTTCGCAAAAATCTCTGTTTCTTAGGGGGTAATAGTTGGTAAAGGGGATGGGAAGGAGTATCCGTGATAGTGTTCCATAGCTTACAGTCTCGTTTTTTGATAACTTCAGCTATTGCATACAGGTTGTTGGTGTATCCGAATCTAAACGCTCGCTTAAAAAAACTTGTCAATGCGATCAGGGTATTTACCTTGATATGCCGCTCCCCAAATCTCAATTCCGTACAAAAACAGGGTCATAATTAAAAGATCAAATAATATTGTCAGTTGTTCTTTAGGGTATCCAAAATATTTACAAACGCGTAAAATGTATAAACGACTACTAGCTTTGCATAACAGATTGTCATCATGAAGGTCCCAGTCCGATGGATTCTCCTGGAAATTATGCCAAGCAATTTCAACCAGCTTTTCCGTTCAATCCCCTGTAGCAGAGGTGTCAGTGGTTTGGAAATTCTGCCATGCACCACCATTTCCTAGGTCTTAGTGTGGTTTAGTTTCATACGGTTTCTTACCGCCCAGTGTTGAACGCTGTTAACCTCAATGAAAAGAGTGATCTTGATGTGCAGACACAGGTACGCTTAGTGTAAGATCGTCGGCATATTTTAGTAATAGATTGCGCTCCGTGTAAACCGGTCTTATGTCGTATACCATAACAGAGAACAATATGGGCCCGAGGACAGTACCTTGCGGTACCCCTCTGTTAATGCTAGCAGATTCGGTGACAAAGCCGTCCACGACTATTCTCTGTTTCCTATTACTAAGAAAGCTGACAATCCAATTGATAACATAAGGGTCAATATTGAATGACATTAGCTTATTCCAAACAATAGCATGTGGAACACTGTCAAAAGCTTTACTGAAGTCAAAAGAGAAAACTCTTACAAAGTCTGTTGTCCTGTCCAACCATTTTAGCCAATGATGATGACAAGTAAGGAGCGCCAAGATTGTGTTGCATCCTTCTTTGTAGGCAAACTGGTCTGGGCCAATAGTAGACTTCAATACAGGGGACAGCTCTTGCTTTCAAATAGTCTCTCAGTCTCAGCTGATTGTATGTTTCAAAAGGAGTCTCTTTCGGAATAGGTGTAATATTAGCTAGCTTCCACAACCAGGGGACCAACTGTTTCTTGAGAGAAGAGTAAAATACTTTGGTGATTGTTGGCGCAAGTTGATAAGCGTAGTCCCTCCAGATCCAAAACGGAAGTTCATCTGGACCCGGAGCAGTACGCTTTAATGTACTCAGAAACTTCCATACAGTGTGCACCTCAATTGTAGGAATACGAGTGCCATCCGGGATGGAGATATGTCCAGAAATGCACGCATTGGCGAAAATGGCAGAAATGGCAATTAATCGCCAAAATCGCCAAACTATAAACAAAAATTCAAATGAGATGGCAAAGGGGCCCTTTGCAAAGTGGCGATTTTGGCGAAAATGGCGTATTTGGCGAAAATGGCAGAAATGGCAATTAATCGCCAAAATCGCCAAACTATAAACAAAAATTCAAATGAGATGGCAAAGGGGCCCTTTGCAAAGTGGTGATTTCGGCGAAAATGACGTATTTGGCGAAAATGGCAGAAATGGCAATTAATCGCCAAAATCGCCAAACTATAAACAAAAATTCAAATGAGATGGCAAAGGGGCCCTTTGGAAAGTGGCGATATTAGCGAAAATGGTGTATTGACTAAAATGGCAGAAATGGCGCTTAATCGCCAAAATCGCCAAACTGTCAACAAAAATTCAAATGAAATGACAAAGGGACCCTTTGGAAAGTGGCGATTTCGGCGAAAATGGAGTATTTGGCGAAAATGGCGATTAAGGTGATTCCCTGGTTTTGCACTGCGCATCTCTTACCGCGCATAACAGGATGGCCGCCATAAAAAAGAGCATGTGAAGTAACATTATTAAAATGAAGCTGACTGAAGAGAAACGCTATTGGAATTTTTGCTTGCGGTTGTTTCTTGCCGAAGTGAGACTCAGTGTGTTGGGAATCTGCATAACGTAGGCAGTACGCGTGTTGCTGAGTTCGACTTCCTCACGGAGAACCTCGATAGTGGATGTTTAACTTCTGCTTACTTACTTTGATTTTTATTTAAACGCTTTCTTTATCCCATTGTATCCTAAATGTGATATCTCGATGTAAATTCTGTAAAAACAGATTTTTTAATACTTTCTTCCCTCTTTCACATACATTCTATTTTAAAACTCGCCCCAGTCCTCTCTCAAAACTCGGAGAAAATGCATTTGGTGCGGACTTTCTGCAGCTCTACCGCAAAAACGAGTAC